GAACTCACGGTGTCACTGCAATATTCTCATTTCAGCTGATAAGCACACAAACACACGCCGCCCTCCTTTATCAACAGAGGGCAGTATTTACCCGCTACAGGACCAGACCACAGAGAGAGAGAGAGAGAGAGAGATACCTGTTTGAACTGAACTGAACAAGAACAATGTATTTGTCTTATGTCGTTCCAAACCTGTATGAGTTCTTTCTTCTGTTGAACACAAAAAGAAGATATTTTGAAGAATGCGTGCAACCAAACAGTTGACGGAAGCCGTTGACTACAGTTTCGTCAAATATCTTCTTTTTAAGTTAATCAGAAGAAAGAAACTCATACAGGTTTGGAACGACACGAGGAGAGTAAATGATGAGAGAATGATCATGTTTGGGTGAACTATTCGTTTAGGGATTCACACATCAGTCACATTTTGTTGAATCTGGTTTTAATGATTGTGTCCAGACAGGATGACTTTCAGACACATTACACTGAGAATGACATTATTTTGGGGTGAAATCTGATCTGATGAGGGCGTTACTCACGGTAAACGGACACCAGGTTATAAAGCGCCCATGTGGCCCAGTGCTGACTGACCGGAGCGCTGCTCTGAGGGAGGAGACGCAGGATGGGCTCGAACGACCTGCAGACGGATGGACAGACGGGTCAGTGACGAGTCTTTTAAACAGATAACAAGTTAGGGTCTTAACTAGTTTATCAGCCATTTGAGAGGCAAACCTGTATTTTATTAATATGGTTTATTTAATGATGATGCTTGTGTGTCAGTTTTACACACAGGTCCTTAGAGGACATAATATTGTCATAAAAATATTATATATTCATATTTTTTTCCGCTTTCACTTACATAGATTTTTTTGACCAACATCAGTACTGACCATAACTACAAAAAATCATTAATTTTCACAACCCTGTAAATGCCAATTTAATATAAAAAAATGCCACTGTTGTTTTTTATGGGGGAAAAAATCAATTATTTTCCATTTATTAAGTTTGTTTTGGATTATTACAATCAATTAATTGTAAAAAAAAACAATTAATTTTGTTGCATTATTTTATGTGCAGTGTCAGATTTTTACCAATTGCACACACACCTTTCTCAGAGCACACACACAAACCACACCATTAGAATTACATCATTTACATTCAATTGGCCTTTTTTCCAGCAGAAGCAGAAAACAGGAATGAGTGAGTGTTTGCTCCACTGGCCAAACCTCAGAAAATAGTGCTGGAAAAAAAACGACGCTGACGTGCCTGTAGTTGATGTTGCGTCGCGAGCTGACGTCCCAGCTCTGGATGGCCGCCCACATTTTATCCATGACGTGTGTCCTCCTGGGCTCCTCCATGGTCCAGACCTCCGGCCCGTCGAACATGATGTGTGACAGGACTCCGCAGGCGTTATAGGACACCTCGATGCCGTCCGCTTTACTGTCCAGCAGCTCACTGCGAGCAGAGCCGTGGCGTTAGACACTCACACAGCAAACACTGAGCCAACGACGTGCAGAGAAACACTTCACACCTGAACACCGTGATAAACTGCTTGGTCAGCAGCTGCGGCCTCAGCGCCTTCACTTCAGCCACGTTACCCAGCAGCCCCAGCATGTTACGGTGCAGCTCCTGCTTATCAGGAAACTCCTGCGAGAGAGCAGAAACCAAGCGGATGAGGGAGGAGCGGGAGATTCTGCTGACAATCATTCATTGAGCTGTGAAGCAGTATGCAGTGATGAACAGACCTTCAGACAATCCAGGAAGAGGTTCATGCCGTTACACTCCAGAAACATCTGACAGTTATCAGGCGTCTCGTCTGTGATGTTCCAGAGCGCGCTCCACGAGAACTCCATCACCTGATCACACTGAACACACACACACACACATCACCGTCAACTCAGACTAAACCAGAAAAACACATTCTCAGTACCAGAAATAAAATCAACGGAGACAACATAAAAAATATATAAAAAACAAAAATGCTTTCATGACTTGAAATAAAATTAACAAATAAAATAAAAAAAACATACTTATTTTATCGCCAAGGCAACATTTCTCATTTTCATTTAGTTTTAAGTTGAAGTACAAAAATAACTAAACAAACAAAAACTAATAAAAATGACAAAAACACACAACACAACCACTGAAAATTCTGTTAAAATTAAAATGAAAACAAAAAGGTAAAATATGAACATCAGTGATACTGAAATAACACTGGCACAGGTGTCATGAACAGAATGAATCAGTGATGAGTCAGATTCAGTAACGAATCGGTGATTAGTCAGATTCAGTAATGAATCTGTGATTAGTCAGATTCAGTAACGAATCGGTGAGGAGCCAGATTCAGTAACGAATCGGTGATCAGTCAGATTCAGTAACGAATCGGTGACGAGTCAGATTCAGTAACGAATCGGTGACGAGTCAGATTCAGTAACGAAACTGTGAGGAGTCAGATTCAGTAACGAAATAACTCCATCACCTGATCACACTGAACACACACACACACATCACCGTCAACTCAGACTAAACCAGAAAAACACATTCTCAGTACCAGAAATAAAATCAACGGAGACAACATAAAAAATATATAAAAAACAAAAATGCTTTCATGACTTGAAATAAAATTAACAAATAAAATAAAAAAAACATACTTATTTTATCGCCAAGGCAACATTTCTCATTTTCATTTAGTTTTAAGTTGAAGTACAAAAATAACTAAACAAACAAAAACTAATAAAAATGACAAAAACACACAACACAACCACTGAAAATTCTGTTAAAATTAAAATGAAAACAAAAAGGTAAAATATGAACATCAGTGATACTGAAATAACACTGGCACAGGTGTCATGAACAGAATGAATCAGTGATGAGTCAGATTCAGTAACGAATCGGTGATTAGTCAGATTCAGTAATGAATCTGTGATTAGTCAGATTCAGTAACGAATCGGTGAGGAGCCAGATTCAGTAAAGAATCGGTGAGGAGTCAGATTCAGTAACGAATCGGTGATGAGTCAGATTCAGTAACGACTTACCATTCTGTCCTGCAGCTTCTTCTGGATCAGATTCAGCATCGTCTGAGACGAGACAAATCAAACCATGAGATGGACGCAGATGCTACACGATACATGCTAACAATCTAATGCTATTCCCATTAAAAACAACATTAATGAGAAACTGGCGCTATTAGACATTTAAACACACATACAGAACCAATGAACCGGTAAACAGAAGCTCAAGCAGCCCTCACTGGTTCAGTGTTGAGAATTAAAGCCTAAATTAAATCTGTTCTTCATATGAAGTGATTGCCTCTCCTCAGAAGACTTGGATTAAACTACTCGATTCATACGGATTACTTTTATGATGTTATGTGCTTTTGTTGGAGGCTTAAAAATCTTGACTAGACTTTTAAAGGATGGACAGAAGTGATGAGGGAATATACAGAATGATCATTTTTGGGTGAACTATCGCTTTATAAATGCAGCACGTTATAGATTTCTGTACAGACGCCAAGTGAACCAGAGCTAACATCTGAACTTCACAAACACACAGAGCTCAATGAGGAGCACAGCACCTTGACGAATCCCATCTTGCCGACGGCTTCTTTGTGGTCGTTGTCGACCTGACAGACGAGTGCGTTACACAGATGGACGGCGATGCGCTGGATGGACTCGTCCTGACGCACAGGCTCCAGGATCTTCAGCAGCAGCAGATTGACTCTGTGATACTGGAACTCCAGCTCCTCAGGAATACTGAAGTTACAGAGCGTCAGACAGCAATTCCTCTGGACCTGCACACACACACACACACACACACACACACACACAGAGTCTGAGTGACATATATTTATCATGCAGTGCTGCCTCAGATCACAGAAGTCTGAAACATCCTTCATGCATCATCGGCGTGGGTTCTGTCTGAGCGAGTGTGTGCGTGAGTGTGTGTGTGTGTGTGTGTTGAACTCACCGTCACCTCCTGGTAATGCTCCATGCCGTTGAGCACCACCTGTATGACCTGTCTGCGCAGACGGACGCTCTGGTCGCTGCGGTACTCGGTGTTGGTGAGGTAAAACAGAGCGGCGCTGCCCGTCACCTGAATGCTCTTGTCATATTTATGAGTCTTCAGTGCTGTGATCACCAGCTGAAAACACACAGCAAACACACTAACTCACACACGTGTTACATGCGTGTGCACTGGGATAGCGCAGTCAGAGATCACATGACTGCACTGGGGTTTAATATTCAGGTACATTATCAATTTAACTGTACTGAAACTATTACATGAGAAGAAAGCTTGAACTGAACTGAGCTGAACACTAACTTTGCAAAATCAACACTGTTATTTTCCTGTTTATTACAGTGAAGCTGCTTTGAAACAGTCTGTATTGTATAAAGCGCTATAGAAATAAATGACAGCAAGTTCCTCTGTCACACACACACACGCACACACACACTCACTCACACTCTCTCACTCACTCATTCGCTCACACACTCACTCTCACACACACGCACACACACTCACTCACACACACACACTCTCTATCTCACACTCACACACACACACATAGATGCTTGTGTGCTTTTTACTTACTTTTTACACTCACACACATTTACATACGCATTTACAGCGAAGATACTTTGAAACAGTCTGTATATAGACTGTAGCGCTCCAGAAATAAATACTTAATACACACACACACTTAATACAAAAGTGTGTGTGTTTGTGTGTGTGTATGTGTGTGAGACCTGCAGTGCTCGCAGCAGCTGGCTGCAGTGCTGAATCCTGGCGATGTCGAACAGCTGGTTAATGGCTCGATGGGCCAGCTCAGGTCGTTGTTCCGTGTACGCCTCGATAGCGTTCAGAATCTGATCCTCGTTCTTGGAGCCAGTGACCTGCACACACACAGCCAATACAATCAGAGCACTGGAGCGATAGAAGAAGAGTGTGTGTGTGTGTGATAGTGTGTGTGTGAAAGAGAGTGTTGTGTTGTGTGTGTGTGTGTGTGTTGTGTGTGTGTGTGAGCGTGTGTGTGAGTGCGTGTGTGTGTGTGCGTGTGTGTGTGTGTGTGAGTGCATGTGTGTGCGTGTGTGAG